TTCAAATTTTAGTGCATTTTATTCAAAATTTTTGAATTGATACAAACGTCAGACAGGTCAACTTTCACCGTAACTTGAAAATAACATGTGAAGTCTTGAATATAACGGTAAAAAAAATTTTTGTCCGTCTGAAAACGTCAACTTAAACTACTACTCAGTAATCAACTATTTATGTCATCACGGTGACTAATGTTTAATTCACTTCAACAATTAATTGCAAAATTAACGCATAACAGGAACTTGAGAAAACAACTTATTTTTAATAACTATCACTTTGTTACTTTGAACGAGTACGAATAAGACTAAAAAAAAACATACCTAGTTTTCGTGTCAATGTATTTTGGATGATATTCTTTATTTTACTGAAATATTTATTTTATAGTTACTGTTCTAGTGGTTATTAACATGAACACAAATTTTGTTGTCGCTCTACTGGTGGTTTTGTCTCAGTCAAAAGAGTGAACAGGGAGGGAATGGAATTCATTTCTCCTGAAAAAGCAAAGTTTTCCGACCATTTGGAATCACAACTGAAAGGGATTCAGCGTGTAAACACGCCCAAGTAATATTTTTTCTTACATTGGTCACAACAAAAATATCATTTTCTGTTATCAAAAGTGTGGAAACAACGAAATTTTCTCATTTTAAGGTTGAAAATTTCTCTTCATGGCCTCTCGCTTCAATCCAATAAAACTAACTTCACATCAAAATTCTATAATTAAAGACTAAACAATTAAGTTATTTACAGATAGAACGAGAACATTATTTTGCCGCAGTTAATATAAGAAATCATTGAGAGCTGGTGAGCTTCTTGGCGAGTATCTCTGGACTGGTCTGAACTGTGAGCAGCTGGGCTATGGCTGGTTCATTTTTGAGTCCGTGACAAAACTCTTCAAAGGAGATGACATTGTCGTTGTCAGTGTCCAGTTTGGCCATCATTTTCTTCACGTGTTTCTCTGGAGTGTCGTCTTCTGCGCTTCCGTTCACGTGGACTATGGTGACCCCTACCATCTTGTGAAGTGCAGTGACTAGTTGAACCATCTCCTCATACTCAATCGTACCTGAAGATAAAATTGTACATACGTGCAATATATTTCTGCTTCAAAACAGTTGCAAGCGTTATCAAGTCAAATATAAGGAAATGAAATGTCATTGAACGCAGTGAAGACACTTATTTGAAGGGAGGTATCTAGGATTTTCTTTTTGGGGGGATTGGATTTTTAATTTTAAAAAAAATTTCACGTCGACCAATTTGATTTTTCGAGCTCTCCGAAAATACTATAAAGACCCTATTTTGTGGTAGTTTTTGCAGTTGGCCAGCCAAAAATGGATGTAAAATTATACCAAGGGGGGAGGGGAACATTTGGAAATTATTGGCAACCGGAATTGAAGGAAGGGGCGGTCGCATAGTCCCCCTTCTCGGCACGCCACTGAGAACTGTCATTATTAACAAAAGGCTATGAGAGTTGATTAACAAGCGTTTTGAGCATCTTATCCAAAAATTTTATTAGCCTAATTTGTAGCATAATCGATAGAAAGATTTGATGTGTACCTATTGAAACCAGGATAGCCGGCTTTTTTACAAGTAGTGCAGAATGTTCCGAGTACAATGATTTAGGTGCAAAATATATAGAAAAGATGGAACAATTATTAAAAATCTATATTTGTTTCAGTTTTTCTCCAAATCTTGTTTTTCGTTGCCAAAGTGCGAATGAATTGGGTAACGAACTGATAACATGCGAAGTTATACTAGCTATAAAAACGTAAAATTGTTGGTACAACTAAATAGAGAGTTCAGGTTCTTATCAAATGTAGTCTGAAAAACAGAAAAATAACAAAAACAAATTTTTGGATCCTATTAAATAACCCCTTCACTAAGAGTTCAATTGTTAAGAATATATGAAATTTGTGACTTGTAGCAACCCCCCTTTGCAATTAGTTCACAAAGATTCCAAGTTTTTTTCAACAATGAAACAATTTTTTGAACTTTTAGAACCCGAATCACGATTGAGAAGGCTTTAATGTAATAATGCTCCAATCAACCCATGAGAACTTTTCGAGGTAGTCTAATTTGAGTGAGTAATAGTTTCCGCTCCATCTTTTAAGGGGAGGGGGGGGGGGGGCAGTAGGAACTAAAATAAATCATATATTAAATTACAAACTCAGCGAAAATAGTTCAGCTGACCATTTGAGTCGTTGTCGATCATGTCGAATGCCAATCGCATCTTGTCCTCTGGCGACCCTTTGCGAGTCACCGACAGTGCCATGATGACCTCCCCGAAGTCCAGACTGCCGGAGTTGTCCCGGTCGAACATGTGCATCATCTGGGCACTAATCTCACTCGCGTCGCCCTCCCGGAACACCGACTCTGAAAAAAAGAAATCATGATATAATTTTGATGGAGTTTCCATTGGAATTTCAAGTTTCAAGAGCTCATTTCCATAACAATTACTCCAGAATATCAATTGAAAATTTTCAAAACATGTTGTTCACCCGATTCGTAACAATTCGAAAAAACATATCGATATAAACAGGATGTTGACCAGAAGTTCGTTGACCGTCACTGTGATGACATGAGAATTCATCCAAGTTATATCTCCTAATTGACACTCAGTGAATAAATATACAGTAGTACCTGATCTATTGAAGAAAATAATATCAGAAGTGAATCTTTATTAATTGATGTCTCTTTATTATGAGTTTGAGTAAAAATGATTGTCGAAATATGTCGACATTGAGTTTTTCCGATGGTTTTAACCGATCCTATCCATAAGGTTGATGCCAAGGGGGCGGATCTAGAATTTTCTCGAGGGGGGCTTAGGTAGACCATATTGATTTTCCGAGCTCTCTAAAAAGACTCTGCTTTGGCCAAAACTTCTGCGCCGCAGGCAAAAATGGATGTCTCAAAATAGTTCAAAGGGGGGACCCTTTGGGTCGGCAGGGGGTCGAATCCCAGAGAAGGGCGTCCACCCCCCTCCCCCCTCCCTAAATCCGCTACTGTAGACAATGTCATTAAATTTCGACCGCATCTATCAATTGCAAGGTTCGTTGCTAAGTTGAAAGTCTTAGAGAAAAATGAATTAAACTGTTGTTATTTTCTGGACTTTTACTTCCGATCAAGCTGTAGTCGGTCTTTTCTCTCTCATGACTGACATCCTACAGCATAACCCGAGAAGATTTAAGTGTCGTGTTTATGGTAACAAAGTTGAAAGAGTTTTTTGAGATCAACATTAGCCAAATGGAAACTCCGATATTTTACCCACGCGTTAAAGTCTAGAATAAAGGATAGTTCAGACAATCAAACTTTGCTAAAGCATGAGGGGGAAAATATCAGTCAGTTATTGCGTATCTTTGTCAATTTCTATTGACGATCTGAAAAAATTCTCTAGCATTTAAAATGTTCGCTGCGAAAACTTGTTTTAAGCCAAAAAATTAGATGTTGCTCACAGTTTTGCACAGTTTTGCTCACAGTTTTGCACATAAATTCCAGCCAAATGAAGACAACGATCAAAAACCTGCTTATTTCATTGTTTGATCTGAAAACAATTAAACAAGAATTCAACCCAATCATTCAAATTGGACTGTTTTTGTTGGCGTCAACCAAACTTCGTGATTAAGCAAAAAATTGATAGAATGAAAACTATTAAAAAAACTAGTGACATTGTTAAGAGTTGCCGCCACGTGATAACGGAAATCGATCTTAACCACCTGCAAACAATCAACCTGAAACGTAGGGATTCTGAATATACAAACTTACCCATATATATTTTGATCTAATTCTGTTTTTGGCGGCTCTCTTACTCACTTCGAAAAAAACCACTTCGATTCTACGTTTTTTTTTGCTGATCTCTATTATCACTTCAAAAAAATGTTTAAATTTAAAAATTTTGGGGAGATATCTAGCTGTAAACCCGGTTACGGAGCGTATATTTTTTTTACTCTCAAGGTCAGCTCATGTTTGAGTTTTATAAAGTAAACGCCCAAAGCGGGATTCGAACCAATAATTCTGTGCTTTTAAGCTCGGCTATACTGTCCTTGTTTTATATGCAACTATAGCTCATCTTATTGCCGTTACGTTCTTAATTTACATTGCTCAGCAACATGTGTGATTTGAGTTTCACAGAAATTTATAGAAAAATTTCTACATATGTACCAACAACACTCAAAAGACCGACTCTTAGAAGCGAAATGTGAATAGTACTCCAGTTATGATCAAGACGAAAACCAAACATGAATCTACGATGAACATGCAGACTGCTATAATTTTGACGACTATCAAAGTTTTTGCGATATGTTTATTGCCGTCTTTTAGTTGGGAACCCAAATTGTTTTTCACGAAACTTAGGCACATAAGCAAACATCTCCTTTGTTTTGCAAACATCTCCTTTGTTTTCTATCAATTGCAAGGTTCGTTGCTAAGTTGAAAGTCTTAGAGAAAAATGAATTAAACTGTTGTTATTTTCTGGACTTTTACTTCCGATCAAGCTGTAGTCGGTCTTTTCTCTCTCATGACTGACATCCTACAGCATAACCCGAGAAGATTTAAGTGTCGTGTTTATGGTAACAAAGTTGAAAGAGTTTTTTGAGATCAACATTAGCCAAATGGAAACTCCGATATTTTACCCACGCGTTAAAGTCTAGAATAAAGGATAGTTCAGACAATCAAACTTTGCTAAAGCATGAGGGGGAAAATATCAGTCAGTTATTGCGTATCTTTGTCAATTTCTATTGACGATCTGAAAAAATTCTCTAGCATTTAAAATGTTCGCTGCGAAAACTTGTTTTGAGCCAAAAAATTAGATGTTGCTCACAGTTTTGCACAGTTTTGCTCACAGTTTTGCACATAAATTCCAGCCAAATGAAGACAACGATCAAAAACCTGCTTATTTCATTGTTTGATCTGAAAACAATTAAACAAGAATTCAACCCAATCATTCAAATTGGACTGTTTTTGTTGGCGTCAACCAAACTTCGTGATTAAGCAAAAAATTGATAGAATGAAAACTATTAAAAAAACTAGTGACATTGTTAAGAGTTGCCGCCACGTGATAACGGAAATCGATCTTAACCACCTGCAAACAATCAACCTGAAACGTAGGGATTCTGAATATACAAACTTACCCATATATATTTTGATCTAATTCTGTTTTTGGCGGCTCTCTTACTCACTTCGAAAAAAAACCACTTCGATTCTACGTTTTTTTTGCTGATCTCTATTATCACTTCAAAAAAATGTTTAAATTTAAAAATTTTGGGGAGATATCTAGCTGTAAAACTAGTTATGTCCTCTGTTATATCTTGTTTTTATGTTTTTTCCTCAGTTATAGTAACTAAAAACCAACGAAATTTAAAAAGGTAGTTTATCTGTCACATCAATCTCAATAAAGTTTTCTTGGCAAATCTCCTGCTGCGCATCGATACACAACAGTCATGTAAGCTCAGATAACTTTTGTTTGAATTTTTGATCTAATTGGACGGTTTTATTGGACTGCTCAAAAGTCTCTCAATAATAGCTGGTAAGAGCTATGGAAACTTCTCAAATTTGCATCCTTGTTGTGTCTAACTGCAAGCTCAAAACTCATTGCAGAAGTTAACGATAGATACGACTGCATACCGAACATTTTGCGTAGAGCTTTTTCGTCCATCTTTCCATCGGGATGTTCCTTCTTGAATCTCTTGAAGTACTGTTTGAGTTCCTGCTCTGAGAAGTTGGTCTGCTCTACCAATGCCATGATTGTGTCCTTTTGGCCCATTGCATTCCCTTCTCTGCAGTATTTGAAAGACACCACACGCCACGCGGAGTCTAAAAAAGCCATTGTATATAGTTGAAAGTTTGGCTTCAGATCAGTACCGGTCTTAGGGATATTAAGTATCCTCCCCCTACCGTTCAAACCCTGTCCACCCAAATACTCGCTCTTTGGTACTTTTTACGGCATCCTTTTTCGGCCGATCGAACTCCTTGCTTATACTAATTTTGTGCGCGTCATACCCTTCCAAAAACTGTCATAAAGGCCACAATAGGGGGTTCATAGGAGGTAAACCACCAGAAACTATTGTTTTTTGTTGCATTCTTTTGGCTGAAAAGTTTTCCACAAAAATTGTATCTGTTTCGATGCCTGTCCTAGGCAAATCCATGTTGTTGTACTTTTTGTCTCCTCAAAAAGTCTGGATAAAAAGGAGCTGCTCTCACCACTTGAGGAACTGTCCCCTAAGTGGTGCGAGCAGCTCCTTTTCATCCGGGCTTTTTGAGGTGACAAAGTACAAGAACATGGATTTGCCTAGGACATTGAAAATTTCGAACCAAAAAATGACGTCATTCGTTTTTTGATTGTTCTCTTTGCAAGACAAAACTGAAAATTTTTGCGAAAACCGTATCGGTTTGATTAGCTCCTGCCTCGTCGCTTTTTCAGATAACAACTCAGCTCTTGTACGGAGCAAGAAATAAAAAATTTGCGCGGAAAGGGGGGAGGCGGATGCTCTACTCCTAGGGATTCGACTCTATGCCGACCCAAAGGGCCCCTTTGTACTTTTTTGAGTTTTGAGACGTTTATTTTTGGCTGTTTGACCTTAAAGTTTTTCTAAAGGCGTCTTCGCGCCAATTTAAACTAATTTTGAGGGGGGAGCCGAAAAAACGCGATTTTTTGGTCGAAATTTTCCAAGAAGTGCCTAAAAACGCCTTTGTGGCCTTTTTTTTCAAAAATTTGAGTGCGGCGCACAAAATTTTGTCAAATTAGGGTCTTTATAGTGGTTGGGGAGGGCTCAGAAAATCAATTTGTCCGACCTAAAAAAAAGTCGACAAAAACTTCAATTTTTTTTTTGAAAATCAGCCCCCCCCACTCGAGAAATTCCTAGATCCGCGCCTGCGCAGATTCTCGAATTGGCTCATTTGTAAATTTTTATTCATTTTGATAATTTGAGTGTGAATTGGGCTTGTGGGGATTCAAAAGTGAAATATACCACCAAGGATATTAAATTTTAACAGTGAAAGTTATTTTTGTTATTGCTGGTTTGAAAATGTTGTGGTGCTTTTGAACAAGCTACCGTTTTTTACACCTTGTTAGCCATATATCACTCAATTGGAATCAATGATAGCAAGTTTCAAAACCAAAAGTGTAAATGCGCTTTGGAAAACAGATGATTTTGTTTTAGATATCGTCTTTGGTCACATGATTTCCAACAAAAGAATGGCGTGAGGGAAATTGTATCGAGCTTAAAAAACTTCCAACGTTAAAAATATCAAGATGTTTTGTAAATTTTGTAGCCGCTGAGTGGTTTTTGCTGCATACGAAAACAAGAGATAAAAATAGTTTCTTGTTGCATCAGTTTAGTGGATAACGGTGCTTTCTTAAAAGACAAAAAAATCAAATTCTCCCATTTTAAACAAATGTTGCTTGAAAATTTCGTATAATAACTTAAAAATTTTTTCAAAATTCTGCGCTAAGAATGCTTCGAATAAAACTTGAAAACTGGGAAGAACTTTGTTTTTGAGTGCTTCATTTATTAAAATTTTTTTTTTTGTTTTCCACGCAAAATCAGCTCCACAAAAAATCATGGGAGAGAGTTAAGTGGTATATCATATTAAAGCCCTTTCAGTCATGATTCGATCGACATTTAAAAATGACCAAAAAATTTTCTCAGTAACGAGAAAAACCGGTTTGAAATTTTTGGTGTTTCGTAATAACTCGAGCGAATAAAGCGAGCGAGCAGGCTTGCAATAGCTTTATTTAATGGCTTCTGAAAAGCTTACAATAGTTCAATTCAAGCCGTAAAAACTCATCGTTACTGGAGTGAATTTAGTTTTTTTTGAGTATTTTAGAGCTTTTTGGAGCGAAAAAGTTCAAAATTTAAAAAAACTGCAAACAATTTGAAAACATTTTTGAACATTTTTTTGAATTTTTTTTTTAGTCTTTTTTTAAAGAAATTGTTTGCAAATTTTCTAATTTTAATGACCGTCGAATATTTCTCAATATTTTTTTTGGTTTAGATCCTTTAATTTAATAAACGACCTTAATTTGAAAAAAAAACAGCTTTAACTCTTTTTTGTTTGTTTTTTTAACGACACTTTTCTTTTTGTTTAACGACACGAAAAAAAACTACACTTTACTGTTTGTTTTTCTTCAGACTATAGCCAGAACATTCTGTGCTACTTCCAGAGTAACCGGCTATCCTAGTTCCATCAAAAGTTGTAAGATTGGAAAAATTTTCACAAGTAATTTGTACAACATGAGCTTTTAAAAAATTTTAAGATAGCACATAAATCTCCACATTCCAGATTGAGTTATTTTGTTGAGAGAAGCTCTTTTTTTTCGATTCAAGGTAGTTTTTTCGTGTCCATAATTTTCACGTGATACCATTATTGCGGACGAAATTGGTCAGGCTGTAGTAGACCTGAAGCTGGAGGTCAAGTGAGAGCTCGCCCTCACACACTATCATTGCCAGGGCAGGGATCAATTACAGAATCCGACAATCACGAAGTGAAGACCTTATTACTATGCTAAGTGCCTCCAAACAACTTCACAACTACAAACGTAAACTAAACCGATTCTGCAAAACTAATTGGTGAAATGTTGTTAATCAGATCAGTGTAGCTAGACAGCCTGTCGTCTAGCGATATCAGTACTACCAAAAGAACAACAATTTAAAGCGGTTCCTAAGCTGCCAACAATTCAAATTGTCAGCCTCATCAGACAAAAACCCTACTACTTCAACTCCGAAAAAATCTCCAAAAAAACACCCAGTCTAAAAAGGATATCAGAACGAGTATCCTTGTTAACTGTACACGTTAATCATTTCGAGGCCAAACTGTGCAATGGATAGGCGCATAGTTTGATTTGTGTGTGTGTGTGTGTGAAACCCAGAAACCCCAGAGCTATCATATCATAAGAATGACTATAGGCTGCAACTCGACTGCCGACACTATAGAGAAACTATGTCGAGCAATAATCATCGGCAAGCTTAGAAGGTGAACGCAAGTCAATTTTGAAAAATTTAAACGAAGTAGGAGAATTAAAAAAATCAATTCCAAAAGATGGCACAACAAGGAAGGGGAACGAAAAATGAGCCATCAAGGATTTCGAGAACTAGAAAAGTTGAACTCAATCTGATACAAATTTAAAAACGTTTTGTTAATTTCGAGGGTTCTTGCTGCCCAAAATTAACCCGAGTTTTACATTGCTCGCTGTTATTTGTAAACTTCACTTATTAGCAACTTGTTTTGAAAGTTCTTTGGTGTCATTTGAATTAAACTTCAAATTATACTTATTTTGAGATAACTAGTCTGTATAATGATTGAAGACTTGGTTAAAATCAGCAAAACAGTAATAACTGCTAAAGTCTGATGCAGGCTGTTCTTTACCTTAATTTGATCTGACCCTCTATTTCCATTTTGCAAAAAAATGATTAACACTTTATACCATAACTCAAATTTCTTTATGCGTTTTGGCTCATGTCCTTCTTCGCTTTCCAAGAAGAAAAAAAAGCATTGCTAAGGTTTTGATAATGTGCACAAAAAGATCGATTTGTGCATTGATTTCTACATCGCAATGAAAAACCAGGTTTTAGAATAGTTAGTTGTCGAACTTTATATTTTAACACGAAATTAGTCTGATGAGATACAGTAAATTTTTTATTTATTTTATTTTAGCTTGTCTAACTGGTCTTTTATGATTCGACCTTGATATTTTCATTCTCTTCGGCAGAGAGAATGCTTCCAATCGCTTTTTTTGTTTTTAAATTTGAAATTAATTCTCTTCTTGACGTTTTAATCTTTTTATTAAAAATAAGTAAAGTAGAACTAGCTGTAACAAATGAAAGTCTTATCATGGCGCAATCGAACAGCAACGAATCAAACGTGAGAGAAAATCTTCCCTTTTGGCAAAATAGTACGGTGGATCCATCAATTCTGTGGCAAGAGTGGAGCGATCATTTTCACCTTGCGTTGATCGCAAACAAAGAACAAAAAAAATTCCAAATGCCATATAGTTTTTTCCGTGCAAAATTTTCAACATGTAGCACTTGTTAAAACAAAAATGACTTTACCAGACTCTAAAAATTTCGTGGTAAAAATTAAACTTTATTATAAAATAAATATAATACAGCTTTCAATTATCCTTCGGGTCAAGCGAATGCAAATAGCGACCGTGAAAAAAAGAATGATGTGGAGTGATCAACGCTTGATCAGAAAACCAATAGAGTGATAATGAGGACTATTCTGTATTGAAAATAAGTACAATTTTCGACAACGACTGAAAAGAACGTAAATAACTGTCAAACATCCAGCGCGGGAAAGAAATTCAAGTAGTTAAGATTATTCAAGAGGACTCGACTAGCACGGATAGCTTCCTTCTAACGAAAGTTTTTCTTAGTTGAAACTACAAGAAACCTACTTGAAAGTTTATGCGGTAGGTTGATCAACCAAAAATTTATATTTCGGCTTCACCGATAACGCCATTATCATCACAGGCAAACTAGTGATCTTAATTTTTTCATACGGATGGTCCCCTGAAGATTGTCACTTTTTTCTAACCGATGGTCACAACAGGAACCTAGCTTGCCAAAAATGGGAACTGAAATATCTCAAAAACACTTTCCTCCTGTCCAGATCAAAAAGAGCAGTATGTCTACGAATGTTATTACCGGCGAAAATGACCGTAAAGTCAAATTGTCTTCAGGAAATTAAACTATTTTTTTCTTCGGATTGGAAAAAAACTGACTAAAGTTACACACTTCCACGGACTACTCACACCAATCCAGTTGAAGGATAGACACGTAACCTTCAATTTTTTCAATTTAAACCGAACTACA